CAGAGATTCGACAACGCTCCAAGTGCGTCTGAGCAGCTTCGTAACGTATCCATTTCTGCATTTCTGTCAATACATGCGGAACCCATCGTGGCATTTGCTTCAGAATTGTTTCAGAGATTCGACAACGCTCCAAGTGCGTCTGAGCAGCGTCTTAATGCATCCATTTCTACATTTCTGTCAATACATGCGGAACCCATCGTGGCATTCGCTTCAGAACACTGTTCCAGAGATTCGACAGGCAGTAGACCCCTCCATTCGCACCAATAACAGAACAGACTCTGCTAACGGGTTCTACACAACGCTGGTGACTACTTTGAAGGACAGTAACATGTGCAAACATGTAACTCTTTTGTATCGATTGTGAATAAATAGTTGTCACTATTTAAGTTCCAATCTACGTACAAAATGTATCTACAGTCAGTAGAGAATGTCTTCTTAAATATAATTGTTATAATTGGTATCGTTGATTTTGAAAGTAAAAGCAATAAATAAATAATTCATTTTGTTAAAATAAATAATTAAAGTTGATACAATTTATAATATAAATATCTTAAAATATAAAACAAGTCTATTAAATGTTTTATTTTGTTAAACTCTCATTCAAATATAAATCATTAAAATACCTAAACAATAACATAATGTATAAAATGAACTTTATCAAATGTTCAAAATCAACGGTTCAATTATAATAACAAAATAAATTATTTATTAACATTTTTTCTAAGAGGTAAAGTTTGATCATTAATTTCCTCATCTGAGGAAGAAGATTTCACTTTATTCCATGGTTGTTCTTCACCTGATCCTAAAGTACTATAAACGAGAATCTCAATTATATAAAGAGCAACAGTTACAAAGAATATTATTCGCCATGCTTCTATTGTTTGCTGTAAATAAAACAATATTAATTAATAATAATGTCAAATTGTTATAAAAGATACTTTTTCTTCCCTACGGGCCGGAAGGCGTCAACTTTTCTGTGCAAAATTGAAGTTGCCGCTTTCCGCGGCATAATATACAATTGTTGTTTTGTTTATACTTACATTTCCATGAGTTAATTTACCAACGAAAATAGGTACAATAAATCCTGGTATAGTAGCAATGCAATTAGTTATGGCTACCAGTGTACCGGCAAAGTTTGGTGCAATATCTATGTGATTAGATAAGAAACCACAATACATTCCACCAATACATGTTACTCCAATAGTCATAAGTATTACTGCTAAAGCACGATTACATCCGACATAAGATACACCTATCAGACAAATCATTGGAACGAATGATGCTGTAAACAAAAAAAAAAAAAAAGAAAAGAAAATAACACCATTTTAAATTCAATGTTATTTAAAAATACATCAAATGAATTATACAAAAGATGATAAATCTTACAAAAAAGTGTTCCTATCTTTCTTGAAAATGTTACTGTTATTAAATTCTTGTCTTGCATGATAGCCAATACTTTACTCAAAGTCATTGTAAATATCCACATACATAAAAAGGGCATTGCTGATAATCCGGCATTCTGTATAAATAAAATGAGATTAAGAAAATATAAAATATATTATATTATATATATGTAAATTCTTGAAATCTTACCGAACTCATATTGAATTTTAATATTTGACTCATATAAGTTGGTAATTCAATGAGCAACATATACCAACCAAAATTACTACAAAAGTGTGCTATCAATATTGCCCAAAATGGTGTAGATCTTAATAATTGTCCCCATGGTACTTTTAATTTCTAATAATAAAATTATTATTTATCTTATGTATTATTATTTGAAAGATAATATTTGATCAAAATATATAAATAATATATTGAATTACTTCTTTATGACCGGTATTGTTTTTAGTATGACCCAAAGATTCCATGATATAATTTTTTTCATCCTCGGTTATAAATCTCGTTTGTTCTTCTGGAGAATCTTGGATTATTAACCACCAAGCTGTACACCAAATTAAACATAATGCACCTTCGATATAAAAGATCCATACCCAACCAAGATTAGCAGCCAATATTCCTGATAACAAAATAGATATCACTGTACCCAAAGCAGTACCTAAAATAGAAAAATGTTAACATTAGTTAATATCGTCAAATGATCAATATAAGATAAGAGAATAATGTTGTTAAACCTTGTTTTTTTTTTTTTTTATTTTTATATTTACCAGCATAAACGATTGATGCAAGAACACTTCGTTCATTCGGTGGTGCCCATTTTGCTATCATCACGTGCATAGCTGGAAACGTTACACCCTGTATAAAGAAAAATAATGTTAAATGATATATATATATATATATATATTTTTATTTTGTTTATATTAAAAAGAATATTTCAATACTAACACCACCGAGACCTTGAATAAATCTCATTACAATGAATAACGAGTAATGTATTTCTGCTGCAATTGGTGATAATATCGATGCTACAACATTTAACAATACTGATCCATTCATAACCCATTTAGCTGATAACAATTCTGACATTCTACCACCTGGTAACAATGATACCATATATCCCCAAAAATATGCAGATAAAATAAGACCTTGGAGTGGTTCGTTCCATACAAATGGACCATCCTGAAAAATCATTTTTATTCATAATAATAAATGTTCAAACATGGGTTTTCAAAAAATGGGTATTCAAAAAGAGAGATAAACAACAATTTATCATTGAATCTCTGAGACTTTATTCCTGCGGAACTAATAAAATGGGGTGGGGAAGAGGGGAAATAGATTGATCGAAGACATTTTTGAGCTAATCAAATTAATATGGAGCAAGGAAACATTGCTGGAACAATGGAAAGAGTCGATTATAATTCCAATCTTTAAAAAAGGGAGACAAAATGGATTGTAATAATTACCGGGATGTATTTCACTTTTACCGACGTGTTACAAAATACTATCAAACATCCTACTAGCTAGGATAGTACCGTRTGCGAACGAGATAATAGGAGATCATCAGTGCGGTTTTAAGAGAAATAGATCGACTACAGACCACATTTTTGCTATTCGACAGATCTTAGAGAAAAAATGRGAATTAAATCAACCGGTACATCAACTTTATATAGATTTTCAAAAAGCGTACGACTCGGTAAAACGAGAAAAAAATGCTCGAAATCCTAATACGACAGGGGAATACCAAGAAGAAAATTGGTCAACCTTGTTCAACTTTGCCTAAAGGAAAGTAGGAGTAAAGTGAGGTTAGGTAACCAAATGTCGGAAGATTTTAATATCCATAGCGAGTTAAAACARGGGGAACGCATTGTCATCCCTTTTGTTCAATTTAGTACTGGAATTTGGTGTCAAAGAACTGCAGTAAAGTAAAGATGGTTTACAGTTGAACGGGACAACACAATTGTTGACATACGCGGACGATATTGCTTTGTTAGGGGACAATGAAGAGTCATTAATTAATAACGCAAAAATATTCATAGATAATACTAAAGATCTAGGTCTGGTCCAAAATATTGGTCAGTATACCAAACGGGAAAAGACCACTGGGTAAACCGAGACGTAGATGGGAGGATAATATTAGAAGGGTCCTAAAAGAAATAGGATACGAAGACCGCGAATGGAAGGATTGTGCTCAGGGACAGGAACAATGGCGGGATTTGGTATTTGCGGCAATGAACTTCCGAATTTTTAATGCCAGTTAATAATGATAATAATAATAATAATAATGTAAAGGAAATGTGGTATTCAAAAAGAGAGATAAACAATTTATCATTGAATATATCTAATCTTTTGAAAAGATATTTATAAAACAATTTCATTGATAAATGGATAATATTTTTTCTTGATATTAACAGTAAGAGAAAAAGAGATAGAATTATATTATTATATTTAATATATTTAAACATTTAAGTATGTTTTTGTTTTTTTTTTCATATAAATCAAAAAGAAAAGATTACCTCGGTAGAAGATGATGTTACGTTTGAAATTTCATCACCCTGACAAACTTCCGTTATCATTAAACTTCCATTTTCATTCATTAATTCATCGTGTATAGATAAATGTCTTATAGCTGTATGATTCACCATAGCTACGATAGCTACACTGACGTTTACTTTAAAACCATATATAATAGCCAAACCGATGGATCCAAGTATGGCCATTAAATATCGGATTGGAAAATGTGGAGACCCATTATGCCTTGGGCCTGTAAAATAAAATATTTCTTCAATTAATTTTGTTTTATTATTTTATCATAAATATGTTTAACGAGGGAATGTTAAAATTTACTTGTTAATAATTTAATGAAAATAAAAGTTAAAAAAAAAATTACTGTAGAATTTAGGTTATAATAAATTAAATGATTCATCAACATCAACATTCAAATTCAACATCAAGAAAGTTAACAAAATAATTTTGAATGACCGTAAAGTAAAGTTGATTGAGTTAACTGAGACTCTAAAGATATCAAAGAAACGTGTAGGACATGTAATACATGAATACTTGGACATGCGAAAGCTGAATGCAAAATGGATGCCGCGCGTGCTCATTATCGATCAAAACAAAAACAATGGCAAGGTTGTATGAATTAAGCTACAAATTGCTTTCCTATCCACCGTATTCTCCAGATCTGGGCCCGTCAGTGACTTTTTCCTATTTGCAAATCTCAAAAGAATAATGCTCATTGGAAAAAAATGCAACACTGATGAAGAGGTTATCGCTAAAACTGAGGCCTATTTTTTGAGACAAAAGATAAATCGTTTTACAAAAATGTTATTGATATGTTAAAATGGCGCTGGAATGATTGTATTGCTCTTGATGAAGATTATATTGATGAATAAAGTCAATTTTGAAGGAAAAAAAAAACCGTGTTTTTTTTGTTAGGCCTGGGACTTTTCAGTCCATGTGTTATATATCATATGTTATGAAATTTAAAATCAACATAGTTCAAGAGGACACGATTGATACCATTTGGCATAATCAAGTAATATATATATATATATGTGTGTGTGTGTATGTGTGTGACAGTGAAAGATAGAAACTGTATGTCAAGATTCACACAGTGGAATGTCAACACACATACCAAATGCATCGGTGAAAGCTCGAATATTTTGGTTTATTTTTATAACATTAATATTTCGGACATACACCACCAAGCGATTATGTGAATTTTAACATTGTTCAACTTCGATCTTTAACTGTAACATATGAGCCATATATTTTGAGTGGCATAACTCCATTTTCCAAAAAAATTAGGTTAGTTACCGTAATAAGGTATTTACGTATTAACGCCATCGCAAAAAAATTCCGCTAATGCGTCAATCTAAACCTTAAATTGTTGCAACAAATTATAGAATAATAAAAAACTTTATTTAAATTCAAAATATTTTCAAAATTCCAAATATTTTATTTAGAAAAAGTAGTCAATCGGATTTCGGTGGAAAATGGGCCGATATAGAATTTAAAGTAGATTCAAAAGGGTCTCTATTTTCTATCACCTGATGCTGTCGCCATAACCCTGACGAAACCCTGACGAAACCCTGACGCAACCCTGACGGTTGCAGTGTGCAAACAACAAGGTTGTTGTGTGCGAACAATAAGATTGCTCTTTATTGGCGCATTAGCGGAATTTTTGCTGCGGTACCATGACGTTAATACGTAAATACCTGTAATAGTTACATTTTTACATGACCTTTTCATTCTACAGCAATTTATTACAAATATATTTAAAATCATGAAGATTTTGTATCATGAATATACAGGGTGATTTTCACTAGCTCTTGCCACTTAAATAACTCCGAAAGTATGATAATACCAAAAAAGTGGCTAAGAAAAAAGTTGCATGAAAAATTCAAGACAATAATATGACATTAATATTTTTTTGCTAGGTTGAATCATTTTCGAGATTTATTGGTCAACTTTGTTTTTTTATATACAATGTTACATTTTAATACTTATTTTCGGATAGCGGCAGTCAAGACGAATCCAATGATATGCAACATTAATATTGTTGAAGGTTAACGAAGGTCAAAACTTACGAACAAGCCGGCCACTATACAGCTCATGGTCATGGCCGCGTCATGGTCGCGTCATGGTCGCGTCGTGGTCGTGTCAAGGTTGTGTCAGGGCTGCGCCATCATTCAGTTGTTTCGATAACGAACGAAACAGATATTTTCCGAATAGTTTTTATTGAGTCATTGTCAGGTTTTATATTTAATGTTGCATATCATTGGATTCGTCTTGACAACCGCTATCCGAAAATAAGTATTAAAATATAACATTGTATTAAAAAAAAACAAAGTTGACCAATAAATCTCGAAAATGATTCAACCTAGCAAAAAAATATTAATGTCTTAATGTAGTCTTGAACTTTTCATGCAACTTTTTACTTAGCCACTTTATTGGTACTATCATACTTTCGGAGCTATTTAAGTGGCAAGAACTGATGAATCATACTGCGCATATTTTATTGTTTTCAATAATTTACTTAATTAATTTTAATAATATTTAATTAATATAATTTCAATAATTTATTGTTAATTGTAATAGTTAGTTTCAATATTTATTTTATTTTCAATATTATCCAATGATATTGCATCAGCTGTGCTCATAAATCATTTCTAATCTTTCATCATGAAGAATTAATATATTACTTTTATTATTTTAATAAATTATTTAATTATAAATTATTATTGTACTTAAGTATTAACGCCACCATAGCAAAAATTCCATTAATGCGCCAATAAAGAGCAATCTTTGTTATTCGCACACAACAATCTTGTTGTTTGCACACAGCAACCGTCAGGGTTGCGTCAGGGTTGCGTCAGGATTATGGCGACAGTATCAGGTGAAAGAAAATTGAGACTATTTTGAATCTATGTTAAATTCTGAATTTTCAAAGTGTTGCGATTTTAAATAAATTTTTTTATTATTCTAGGATTTGTCGCAACAATTTAAGTTGTAAATTAGCGCATTAGCTGAATTTTGCTGCAATGGCGTTAATACGTAAATACCATTATTATTATTTATTATTATTATTATTATTTTAATAAATTATACAAATAAAGTATTTAATTATACTATCTTAAATTTGTACACAATAAAAATGCATTTTAACAATCGATTATTTTCAAATTAAAAATGCACTAATTTATCAAACTAAGATTTGAAAAAGAATAGAACAAACAAAAAATTAGATTCGTATCAATGAACAACATTTATTTCGTTATCGATCGCACGATAATACCATAAGTGTGATACATTCATAGATAAATATATAATACTTTGATTTATAAAACATAATAATAATAATAATAATAAAAATATCAATGTAATATATAACATTACAATTTTTAATATTATCTTTCGTAAATCGAACAAATTCAATTGTCTTACATGAAATGAAAAGAAATGAAATGAAAGGTAAAGTAAAGTCAAGAAAATGGGGATGCGTCAAGGTCAAAAGGACGTCCGTGGCGCACGATTCAAAAAACGTTGTAACTCTCCTAGAAACTTGTTCATTTCATATTAAAACAAAATCTGATAAATTGAACTATTTCTTTGTAAATTGTGATGTGAATTGTGAATGAAAATTTATATAAAAAAAAAAAAACCTTTGCAAAATTCAATTCTTACATGATAAAAATATAAAATTAGTTAAAAAAAAAAAAAAAAGAAAAAGAAATGAAGAACACACCTCCTGTAGAATGATTTTCCATTGGCATCTTAATTAGATTCTTCAAAATATCTTCTTCAAAAATAAAATAAAAACCAACTTTATTTATTACTAGTATTAAATAATAAACCTTTTATTTTTTACACACAACCACACGAGTGGTGGTGGTGCATTTAATTGGAAATACACACAAAAGGGGATGAATATACTATTGTATAATATTTCAAATAATAAACATACTATTCCCCTTTAGAAAAATATATTCGAGTATTGAATTATATATATATATATATATTTTTTTTTTGTATTTTATAAAATCTGATGTAATTCAAATGCACTTTATTGTAAGATCCGAATAATAGTCTTTAGATTGTATTAACTATAGTCACGACGATATCAATGCACATAACACACTGAGGTAAGAAAACGAAATCAGTTGGTTATTCTCGTTTTTCTGTAAAACACTTGTCCGAAAGGATCACGAGCCATTGGCCTCTCTGCTATAAATGCCGGTTCCATCCCACGTAATCATCAAACATACTACACAAACACAGACACACACACATGTATATACTTCCAGAGAAAATAGGTGGGATCAGTGGGGGGATGAGGTTGGGGTGGTGGTGGGGAGAAAACCATGCGTACATTCATATATATATATATATATACACAAATGAAACGTGGTATGACGTTCGTTGAGTCAAAGAGAAGGAAGAAAATGTGGAGACGTGCGAGTTTGCGCGTCCGTTAAAATCAGAAGCATCAACTTTCGAATAAGAATAAGAATGAATGCGATCATCTCGTTTAAATATATATTTATTTTTAGGATAAATATATATTGATATATTTAAGTTTTGTATGGCTTTTTTTTTTGGTTTTATTTTGTTGCAAGAATTATAACATCGTTTAATATTCAAAATCATCTCTACCCTACATTTCACGCATACCTAATCATTTAAAAAAATATATATATATATATACTAGGGGTGCTGTCCGATACACACGTCTTTAAGTCAATGAATTACCTTATACCACCATCTGTTAAAATCTTATAGAACTAACAGAGATAATCATGACTCTTTGTTAATAAACAAATAATATTGGATTATAAATTGAGATATAAACTATCCTATCTTTCAAGTTGGATGAAACTGCACAGAGTGTGCAAAATTTGATTAAAATCAGTTCAGTAGTTTAGGAGTCCATTGTGGACAAACAACGTGACACGTAATTTATATATATATTAAGAAGATCTATCTAAAATGAGATTGTTTTAGTCAATTATATAATTAATATATTTTGTTTTTCCTTTTTTTGTTTTTGTTTAGAAATGAATAATTTAACATTTTATGCATTTTCATGAAGTTTTTGTTTTGTTTTGTTAAAAATTACAAGGATGCTATTAGTGTTAATCACTTTTCATTTTAATTACTTGAACGTTTATAATAATTTATGAAAATCAATTTAATCATTTAAAATGAATTTAAATTCACTTTAATCACTACCAGTGTAAATTACAATTAGTAATCATTTGATATCCAACAAACATGGTGTAATATAAATTTGTATAATATTAGATATACCACCATTTTTTCAGTATACCTATTTCTACTACACTAGTCAAAATGACTGTTGTATACAAAAAATGCTTTTCGAGCTTTGCTTCCAGTCTTTAATTACTCTTAAAAAACAATCAAAAATGTTTAACAATAATAATTTTAATAGGTAAATGAATTTATAGATATTTTTCAATTATTTACAGAAATCAAATGTTACATGAAGTAAAAATTTGAATTTAAAATGGCCTAACCAGTCAAAATGGTCTGGTATGGTATATCTAATGTTAATAATTAAAAACAACAGAAATTAGAAAAAAAAACAAATGTTTGTATTTTATAGCATACTTTAGATATATATATATATATTATAATGATCGATTTACAAGATATGGTTATTTGTAAATAGTCGACATATAATGATGATATTAGTTACGTTAAATTTTCATTGTGAATATAAAAGACATGATTATTGTCTCTTGGCATGTTATAATTAAATTCAAATCGTAATAATTTTGTGAAGGAAAATAAATAATTGAATTATATACAATAAAAATAATATACGAAGAAGAACAACATGGAGTCGATTAATGAAAATAAACTTGATGAGATTTACGCGTGGTTAGATCAAATAACATTTTCAAGACCAAAGAAAAATATATCAAGAGATTTTTCTGATGGAGGTATATAACGTTGTAAAAAAAGATATTTTTATTTTGTTTTTTTTTTTTTACAGATATTTTGTTTGTATGTTTTCAATTTTGTAGTATTTATGGCTGAATTATTGAAACGATATTATCCAAAATACGTTGACATACACAATTATGTACCTGGTAATAGTATAGCAAAGAAAATTGATAATTGGAATATATTAAATAGAAAAATTCTGTCTAAAATTGATATGAAACTTGGAAAGGATGTAATCAATCAATTAGCTAATTCACAATCAGGTATTATTGAAAAAGTTTTGATAGATTTGCGTGGGAAAATTTTAAAAGATTGTAACAACGATCAAGATTCTTTATATCTTGATTATGAAGAAAATGGAAGAGTTGGTAAATAACAATTGAAACGCATATACATTAATCAAATAATGAATTGATTTAAATAGTAATCTTAATAAATGTATTAATGTTAATTATATTATATTAAAGTTGACGTTAAACCTATTTTAAATCCTGAAGAAGTTGCTAATAGAACAGTACCACGACATATCTTCATACGACTCAAGCAAGAATTGCAAGAAAGGAATGAAACTATTAACACACTTCATCAAAAAATTTCACATTTGGAAAGTTTGATCAAATTGAAAGATCAAAGAATAGTGGATCTTACTACACAAGTTAAAAGACCAATGACAGATGTATCAACTTCTCGTATTAATGTTCTTCCAAATTATGAAATTACTAAAGTACGAATGAATTCTTAAAACGTTTTTTTTTTTTTTTAGAAAAAATCAAAAGAAATTATAGTTAATATTATATTTTTAAATGTAATTATATAATTTATCCTCTTCATACATGTTTTTTTTTTTTTTTCATTTCTATATTAACATATCAAAGTATTAACGTATTAATACAACAGTACTTGTTTGAAAAGTTTCTTTGAGAAAAAGAAACCTTTTTGTTTTTTCTTCTTCTTCTTCTTCTTCTTTCCTCTTAATACTCTTCCATATTCTTTCGTTCTTCTTGTATATTAATTTTCAAATGTACTTTACCCGATATATATATGTATGTTTTACATGGGTGCTCTCATGCTAGGCGGTGATACCAAAATAACACCATCACCACGAATGAATAACATTGATATATTCCTTTTGGTAGTACGATAAACTTCCTCATATGTTTCTTCATCAATTTCTACAGTTGTCACAGTTTCTTCAGCTTCACCTAACACCATATTCAAATGTTGATCATAAGCCTTAAATAAGAAAATATTAAACATATATTATATTCCATTATTTAATTAGAAATTGTAAAGGCACATTGACAAAACTTACATGTAAACGTCCACGTAATTCTCTTTCGTTTCTCATTTTAACATAAATTCGTTCATCCAAACTCAATCTTATTAAATCCAATGGTTCTTTAACATTTATTGCAGGAACCTAATCATCAAATCAAATAAACAAACAAATATAAATGTTATATGCAACGTTGAATGAATTTTGAGGTTAACTTAGATAGGTTAACGAACGAAAATATTACCTGTTCTGTTTCATCAGCCATAATATAATTATTATTGAAATAATTAATAAATTATAGTTAATTATATTTATGAATTAATAGTTTAGTCTTGATTTAATATTATTAAACAAAATACACAAATGCCTGTATTTTATTCAACTCATCGACTTATCTCGAAGACAGTAATCGAAATCGTATCGTCAAAACGTTAGGCGGGAAAATAACCAAAATTCAAATTAGTACCGAGAACATATTGAACAATAACTTAATCTTTTTAATTTGAAAACATTTTTATAACACATTATATTCAACAAAATAAGTAATACAATGTAGAAAGATAAACATTGTTTAGTCTTGATTGAATATTATTAAATAAAATGCACAAATGTGTGTATTTTATTCAACTCATCGACTTATCTCGAAGACAGTAATCGAAATCGTATCGTCGAAGCGTTAGGCGGGAAAATAACCAAAATTCAAATTAGTACCGTGAACATATTGAACAATAACTTAATCTTTTTAATTTGAAAATATTTTTATAACACATTATATACTGATCTTTAACAAAATAAGTATTACAATGTAGAATGATAAACATTGTACGAATTTTTACATATTATTTATATCAAATAAATAAATAATATTAATTGATCAATATTATTTCATATTACAAACCACGTGAATATACATAACTAGTTTATTAATAACAAATTTTGAAAAAAAAAAAGATTATAAATCAAAGAATCATCGATATTTTAATAAATAATATTAAAATAATTCATTCTTTCAATGAAAATAAATAAATTTCATTCAAGTGCCTTGTGATAGACCACACTTCATACTTGCATGTATAAAAATGATTATTTGCAAAACGTGGGTAAAAAAATGATTCAATTCCACGAATGTTTAGGTAATAGTATAATATTAGATACAAACTTGATTAGTTAGTTTTTCTACATAATTTGTACGAAGAATTGAAATAAATATTTCTTTAAAAGATTATTACATATTTATAAGCAAATTATTTACATGTATTTCAATGTACGTATATATTTAATAATATTACAAAGAATGAAAATTGATTAATTATACTTGTCTATATATATATATATACAGTAATTAAATAAAAAGAGAACAAATATTTTATCATGATCATTATCAAAAATCAAAATGAAACTGTATAATTTCAATATTGTGTATTAAAATAATGATTCAATGTTATCAAAGGTCGGGGTATAGAACTATTTGTAGTTGTTGAAACAAACTTGAAATGAATAAGTATTTCTTCCTCTCTTTCCTCTCTCTCTCTCTCTCTCTCACACACCCTTCCCTTCTCTATTTCTTTCTCTTTCTGTCTGGAAATGTTTCTTTTTTTTTTTTTTTTTTTTTTTTTAAGTACGCCGCCGTTTGTAAGACGTAAATAACGTTGAAATAAATCAGCACATTAATTCAATGCTCGTTCGCTCAATCCAACCAACCAACCAACCAACGATCATCGTTTAAGCAATTTTATAAATTCATCTGTAAATCCTGTTTAACAATAAGCTACAAAATACATCCTTCGTAGAATCATACTTTTATGCTAATAAATATATATATATATATATATGTAAATCATATGTCCATAAGTAGTAGTAGTAGTAGTAGTTACACGTATGCATCATAGGTGTACAATTGCACCGCTCGTACACTCCTCAAAGAATCGTTTCCATAAATATATAAATACTAAAATGAAGAAAAAAAAACACGAAGAAAAAAATATACATACATATATATATATATATATAAGTAACCAATAAAATAAGTAAGTAAGTAAGTAAAGTCTGATGATGAGGAGCGGCAGTGGTATCCCATTGTCGTTGCGTCAGCGAACCCAAGCAAAGAGATGTTTGGTGATTGGCCAATTAGGAATAGTGGGAAATCCCCGTTGATATACCTGCTGTTCTTCCGTCTGCTATGTTGAATGTGTTGTGTTATGTTGTGTTAGGTTGTATTGCGCGCTAGTATGAATGGCGCACGCATGGCACTACCATACACACATACATACATACATACATACAGTGACACACATATATATATATATATGTACAATGACGTCCTAAACGTTTCACGCGCGTCATCATCGGAACCTCAAGATTTTTACCCTGAAGGAACGTAGACTATCGTTCAGCAATTAGTAACGCGCGAAACGCCATTCACATAACACGTTTATAGTTCCACGTTTATATATATATATATATATATATATGTATGTTCGAAGTTTTTCCTGTGTGCACAATTTAAATTTGTGAAACCATTTGTTTGTTTGTTTTTGTTTTCAACGTTAATTAGCCATTAACAGTTTATTTTTATTTTTTCTAAATTCTTTTTTAATTGTTCTTTTGATTTCTTATTGCAAATAATACTTTTAACAATTTGTTTATTATCGATATCTTTTTGTTGTTGTTGTGGTTGTAATATTCGTACGTTCTAAAGAGATTTTTCTTTGTTATTTAATAAAAAAGGGCAACTCCATTATTTCTTTCACTTTATTAACTGAATATATCAAATTCTAGGTATATACATTCGCAATATTTATGTTAATTAACAGTTAACGATTTATTTTCTTGCGATATCTGTATTAGTTTGAATAATTGTGCGTGGCGCGAAACATTACGTACGATTGTATGCATGATAACACAACACTTAAATAATATACGTACGCGCGCGCGCACGTATTATATATACATACATACATACATACATACATACATACACTTGGTTGCATTATTCGTTTCAATTTTTAAGTAAAACCGTCTACAACAAACTTATTTATTTCGAAAAAACAAAAAAAAAGACATGAATTCGTTTGACAATTATGATAGGACAAATCTTTCGGAGGTCAGTACAACAACTAAATAAATGTTTTTTGTTTTTTTTTTTTAAAATAAATAAATAAAAATAAGAAAATAAAATATGCATATTATTTGATGAAGTATTTTGTTCATTTTTATACAGGTTTGTTCATCGGTGATCAACTTGAATGATGAAAATGAAAATAACGATCATTTTTTGTGGAACATGGATACACCTGTTGTTAATAAAAAAGATGTTACACACACAATGTATAATTCGTACGAACCTAAAAGGAAAAAATGTTCACTCGGTAAATTATTTTTGAAAATATAATTATCAATAAATTTTTACGTAATTGTAATTGAACACAAATATTTCGTTACTTTTCTTCCTCTTCTTCTTCTTCTTGTATTGTATTGTATTGTATTGTATTGTATTGTGATATTATTTTTGTATATTACAAATAAAGGTGAAATTGAGTACATCGATGGTACTGATTGGTGTAGAAAACCAATGAAAACTTGGTGCAAACAGGAAACGATAAGTTGGTTAATGTCAGCCGCATCTTCCATAGGATTACCATACAGATCTATACAACAAAGTCTTGCGGTTTCCGGGGAAGAACTTGCAGCCATGACACGCAATGATTTCTTATTTCACGATCCAATTTATGGTGATAAATTGTATTGCCATTTACATTCTCAACGAGTTTCTAATTCACGTATGTTTACAAACCCATTTACAATTAATTATTACACCACCATCCTTATATTTTAATATGATTTATATTAACAATTAGAAGTATAATCATTATTTTCTTTTTTTTTTTATTTAATATTAGGATTAGATTAATTATACAATTATTAAAAAAAAAAAAAAAAAGAAAAAAGACAATTGTGTGTTTAGTGTATTTTTTTTTTCTTTCTTTTTTTTTTTTGGATTATATTTTTATTTAATTTTTTAGTTCCACCATTTGAGGCTATACACTCACATTCCGAGGACGATATGGCACAAATGTCGTCCAGTGGTATATCCGGTAAATGATAATTCATTATTATTATTATTATTATTATTATTAGTATTATTATTATTATTATTATCGTATAAATCTGTACGAGAATACGTTTCTTTATTCCCCTTCTTCTTAAGTTAACTTTACTTTAATGAATCACGATATTTTTATTTTTTTTTTTATTTTCTAGATGCGGAATCAGATAATTGTATGAAAATCACAACTAAACGGCCACCGGGTAGACCGAAATTATTAAAAACGAAGAAAAATGGTACGTTCTCTTTCCTCATTGTATATAATTGTTATTTTTTTTTTTTTTTTATTAATATATATTAATATTTATATATTAATAATAATAATAGTATGATATATATTATTGTGTTATTACAAACATGCAAATATAAAGTGCAAATATAATGTGCAAATAATTTATATTAAAATGCTATAAAGATAATAACATATATTATTATATTATTATTATAACATAATAATAATAATAATAATATATTAATATATATTATAATAATAAATATATAAATATATAAAATAATATACTATTATAATATATTAATAATAATATATTAATATATATATATATAATATATTATAATATATAGAATATAATATACATCATAATTATACATTATATTAATATTATAATAATATATTAATATTGTTAATATAATATAATATACATTATAATTATAATTATATATTATATTAATCTTATAATAATTATATTTTATTTTTATTTTTTTTTTTTCTATATAATATTAAATTATACATTATAATATATGTTATATTAATATATTATAATGATATAATATTATTAATAATAATATATTTTTTACTATGTTATAATAATATATT